TGTGAGCACCATATACTTTGCTCAGTGAGATAAAATCTAGTCCCTTTTGGGCTTTTATTCCAAGTGATCCTTGTGACAACGTCTCTGACTCCTTATCCCACCCCCGGGGTGCTGGGTACCGTTTTGCAGAAGGGTGGTAAGTGTGTCCCTGCATGCAGCCTCCGTGGTATAGTCAAAGCCAAACAGCTGGTATTGGATCTGTGTTAAAATGTTTGTACAGAAGACTGGGCAATATTTCGAGGTCTACTTGGGACATTTGGTGTATGTATATTCTGTGCACTGGAGAAATTGTAAGCTGCGGTGTACTTTTGTAACTTTGCTGTTCTCACTGCACAATTGACAAAGCTTGGCCTTGGGGTTTGTCTGCAAGAGGCTTTTACAACATCGAGACTCTTATACAGATACATCTTCTCCAGGACAGCCCCATCCTTTCTTCTGATTCACTGAGATCCCTTCAGTTTAGGCTTTGCAGCATCAGCTTCCAAGCCAGACCCACCCTGACCAATTCACTCATGAATAGAGATCCCTCACAGAAGGCTCATTGGAGGACGAAACTGCTCAAATTTCTCCATAGGTGCAGTGAGATGCAGTTCTTCAAAGATTAAGCCACATAGCAGCTCTCATAATTTTAACGTCTTTCAAATATAGATCCTGTCCACTGAGATCCAAGTGCAGCCCAGAGAACAGCTTGTGAACTGGATAGAGAAAAGTCGCCCAGGCATTCCTTTGAAAGCATGTCGGTGTTTTAGGGGAGGAACAGAGGGGCAGAGGGTGTATTTATGGTTTATTCAGGATCCCCAGTTCTAGGGTCTGCACCCTTCAAGGTGATGGGGCTGAGGTGTTGCCTCTGACTTTCTCTATATCCACCCTTTCCTGCCTGTGGCCACGTGTCCTGTAGTCTCTACCCAAGGAGAATAGGAACGTGCTTTGGGGCCCTGAGATCCCAAGGGTCCAGCCAGCAGTTTTCCCCCTGGCTTCAGGGAGACTTACAAAGATAGAGAACAAGCTGTGTCAAGCCTTAGCCTAGAGCAGTGGCCACCAGCAGTTCTGAGAATGAGTTCTACAAAGGTGCTAAGCGGCTCTTGAAGGGAGAGGCTTCAAAGAGAAGCCCCGAGGGAGTGCACAAATGTTCTGCCTGCATTCTGTAAAAGAAACCAGGTGGCTGGGTTAGGGACTTGCCTCAAGGTCCTCTAGAAATTAGAGGCCATGCCCTTACATTTGGTAGATGGGGAGGCTGAGGCCCTCAGAAGGGAAGGGACTATTGGTTCCACCAGGTAGACAGTAAGAGATGATGGAAAAAGAACAGACATTGAAGTCGGAGTGACCTGCGTTTAAATCCCACTCTGCCACCACCTAGCTGTGTGGCTTGGGCAGTTTATTTTACATTTTCTAAGCCTCAATTTGCTCATCTATAAAATGGGGACAATAATACCTACTTTGAAGTTTGTAAAGATCGGAGAAAACGTGATATGTTTCTGTCACAAAGTAGGTATTTTGAAAACTGTAGCTTTAGAAAAAGTGCTGCCTCCACATTTATTCATATCTTATAATTTATAACACCTTTGCTTTATTTTTTGAAATGTATTTGACATATAACATTGTGTGACTTTACGGTGTACAACATGTTAATTTGATAAATTTATATATTGTAATATGATCACCATTATAGCCATAATTAACACCTCTTGCATTATATAATTATCCTCTTTAGTAGTTGGAATAATTAAGCCCTAGTCTCTAGCAGTTTTGATGACAGTAATACAGCACTGTTGTCTATATTCACTGCATTGTACACTATATCTTAAGGGCTTATTTACAACTCGGTGCAGGTTTGTACCCTTAAACAACATCTGTCCTGTCTTCTGGTAACTGCCAGCTTATTTTCTGTTTTTACAAGTTTGGCTTTTTGAAATTCCACATATAAGTGATAGTATGCAGCACTTGTCTTTCTCTGACTTATCTATTTCTTAGTGCTTTACTTCTACAACTCTGAGTATCTGAATACATCATGGTCTCTGTCCACATGATTCCAATAATTGCACAATTATTGAGGAATAATTTACCTACAGCCAAATGCACAAATCTTAAGTGCCCAATCTGATGACTTTTGACAAATGTATACACCCATGTATAACCTTAACCCTCAATAAGATGCAGACACTCCCAACACCACTGAGAGTTCCCTCCTGCCTCTTCCTAGTTTCCACCTCACATGAAACTTCTCTGACCTCTATCACCAGAAATTGTACCTGTTCTGGTTCCTTTGTGTCTAGCTTTTTATCACTCAATGCATTTTTGTGATTATTCCATGATGTTGTGTGGATTGGTAGTTTGTTCCTTTTTGTTGTTGAATAACATTCCATTGTGTGAAAATGTCACAGCCAGTTTATTTATTTTCCTGGTGATGGACATTTGGGTTGTTTTCACTTTGGGGCTATTATAAATAAAGCCGCTATGAACATTCATGTACAGGTCTTTGTAAGGACATATGTTTGTATTTCTTTTGGTTATATGCACTTAGAAGTGGAACTGCTGGGTCATGTGGTATGCATATGTTTAACTTTATAAGAAAATTGCCAAACAGTTTCTCAAAGCGGTTGTTCATGAGTTTTTGGAAATAAGGATACAATGGATTCATTTCTCAGGTAGTGCCTGGTTATACTTAGTGTCTCTGTCAACAGGGAGAACAGATCGATGTGTTTAATCAGAGGCTTCTGGAGACAATATAGTCCAGTTATGACTGGGGCTAAAGTGATTCTGAAAGGAAAGTTCTTTAGAAAGGGTCCCCCGCTGACTGCCAGATTCCTTCTTAATGCCCCATCATAATCTGTTGACTCTTCTAGCAAAACCTTAAAAGAATAGGCTGCAGAATTCATATATTCTAATCTCTTCTTTTTATCCAAGAGGAATCTGAAGCCCAGAGAGGCCATGTGGTTTCCCAAAAGTCAACCCCAGGTCCTCAGACTCCTCTAATGCATATGATTTCCTTGCATTGTGCTGTCTCTGCATGAAATGGCATTCAGCCACTGTTTAATGAATACCTACATTGTGGTAGGTGTTAGGGATAAAGAAATGAATAAGAAAAGACCCATCCTAAAAGGCCTCATAGGCAGGGCTATTCAACTCTCCTCATTTCCTTATAATCACAAGAAAGGATAGATTTAAGGTGTCTTTAGCCTAATCACATGGGTGGCCAGTGGTAAAGAAGCAATCAGATGGGCTACTTCTCCACTTAAAGAAAGGCCACGCCGTGTCTTGATTGCCTGCTGTATGCCATTTACTGGCCTGGGAGCAAAAGGACAACCTCTGCCCTCAAGAAGCTCACAGGTAGAACAGAGCCATAGAGGCCAAGTTTAAGGCAATTCAACAAACAGCTATTGAATATCTACTCTATTTGCTGGCCCTGTTCTATGTGCGGAAGATATGGTGGTAAGCAGAGCTGACAATCTTTCAGGTGCTTTTCAAAAAAAGTCTGTGTGTGTGTGTGTGTGTTGAGATCTGCATTTGGTTCAGTGTATATCTCTCTGAAGGCCTTAGGACTGGTGTGGTTTGTAACTGCTAGTTTCTAAGCGGGTGGGGGTGGGTGCAGGCCACCATCATACATAGATTCTGGCATCAGGGGAGTGGGAGAATTTGATGTATTTTATTCTCTTGAATGGAAGTGGTCAAGATAGAAAGCAATGCTTACTATTACAATGGAAATTGTCAATACACGCTGGATTGCTTAGTCAGCTCTATGGGGAAGCTCACCCCTTTTTCCAGGGGGATCATGTAGTTCTGGGAGGAGGAATGCACTTCCCCAGAAGGCAAGTAACCCCATGATTTGGCCTCATTGTTAATTTTTTCTTTCATTTCCTAATGCTCTTCTAGTCATGTTGCCAGAAAGTTCTTCTCAGTTGTAAGGAAGGGCCCCTTCAGTGCTTCAAAGAGCTCTGTCTTGTTGTTTCCTGAACACTGATTAGACCAGGCTCCTCAGCTGGTCCTCAGATCAGCATAGCATGGTTTTTGATCCTGTACTTGGTAGAAGCTAACTGCTTGCTCCCAAGGATGCTGCTCATCCAAACTATAGCCAAGCCACTTGGAAAAATAGTGCCAATAATATTTCACATTTTATCTGCAGCTATCACCTGTGTCACAATGGAAGAAATGAATACTTGTGCAGCCCAGATGCAGAAGCCTATAAAGACAGAGTGGAATTCCCGGTGTGTCCTTTTCACTTATTTTCAAGGGGACATCAGCAGCGTAGTGGATGAACACTTCTCCAGAGCTCTGAGCAATGTCAAGAACCCCCAGGAATGGAGCTCCTTGAGCCAGAATGGAGATGTGGTCCTGAGGAATGGTGAGCTGTTGCAGGATATGGGGCCAGAATTCCCAATCAAGGATATCACTGAAAGATAGTTCTCTGATTCTTTTAATGCACACAGACATGTATATATTTGCTGAAGGCAAGTCACATTGTCTGGAGAGAAGCAGCCACCCCTTTCTTTGAAGTTTAATGTGAAAATGGACACTTTAATCAAATTAGTTCACCTATTTCATTGTTTCCTCAATTGTGTAAAATGCTGGCTGGATTAACTGCTCAGTATACAATAACAGCACCACAACCCACAACTGTTTGTCATTAGCACTATTGTCAGTATTATTATTATTAATAGTAGTAGTAGTACACAATAAGAGCACCACGACTGTTTGCTATTGTCACCTTATCAGTCTTATTTTTATGATTATGATTACTGTTACTGCTACTACTGGCCTCACCTAAAGACTCATGATGTAAAAAAGCATGTCCCATGTGGATACATGCAGCCTCCTCACCACTAATAGTGGATGATCTGATGGTTAGGGCTGGGTCCAGAGAGAGGTAGGAGGAGCCTTACCACATCTCTTTCCCCACCCTTAACAGTATCAGGGGTCTCCCCCCCTTTTTTTTTTAATATCTTTATTCATTTCAGAGAGAGAAAAGGAGAGGGAGAGAGAGAGAGATAGAAACATCAATGATGAGAGAGTCATTGATCGGCTGTCTCCTGCACGCCTCCGACTGGGGATTCAGCCAGCAACCCCCTGCATGTGCCCTGACCGGGAGTCAAACCCCAATCACCTGGATCCTAGGTCGATGTTCAGCTGCTGAGCCACGTTGGGCCAGGCGGGGGAGGGCGGGGGGGGGCGTCTTTTACATTAACTATTTGGTAATTAAAAAAAATACATTCTCATACCTCAAAACAATTATTTTAAGAGCTATGTCAAAATGTGCTCATCAAAATATCTAGGTTTGGAGAAAGCCCAAAAAATTAAGCTGGCAAAGCATGCAGTATGACTTTCATAGACCTTAGACAGTTTGCATTCATAGGTCCATTCCCCTGTATAGATATGAAAAAAGACATTTTGTGACTGCATTAGCATAAAAA